GCACAAAACAGGCTTTTAACAGCCTGCGTTCGCGATCCCGGTCAAAATACCCGGTCGGGTATTTTAGGTCACGACCAGGGATTTTTTTGGTTCACGACCGGGTATTTTTGGGTCACGACCGGGGATTTTGGTTCACGACCGGAGATTTTTGGTTCACGATAGGGCCCCCTTCTGTTTCTCAGAGAAGCCCGAAACCAATTTTCCCCTATCTTTGATTCTTCGTTTCTCCCTCGTTCGGACTCCAAATCAGGTGCTGTTTGATCCCAGACGCTCTTAGTCTCGTCCTCTTTCTTATCACGACAAGATTACATGATTGTATGGTCACAAACTGAGGTAGAAATCCCTTCTTCTTCAAGTCATACCCGAGTTTCTTCCCTCGAGTCGCCAATTGATCTCCGATTGACTTGAAACTTGCGCCTACGCTTCACTTTATGTGCTAGGACCTGAAATGTGACAAAGGAACACAACCTAGCATAAAATAGGACAAAGAAGCAATAATGCAAGCTTAAAAGATCAAGAAACAAAGGGGAAAACATGTGCAAATATCGAGTCATCAAATCCCCCCACACTTAACCGTTTGCTTGTCCCCAAGCAAACCTAACTCAAACCAATGCTGCTCTCCAGACCTCTATAGCAACATGCACCCTCGATCCTTGATAGAGGATTTTCTAGGTCATTTAGCAGCTTACGAGGTCAACCGACGCACAAGTCATCTCATAGCTTCTTCGGCGAGAACGCTAGTCTCGAGTCGGCATCATGGCAAATTGTGATCAGAGGACAAATGAATCGTGGACGAAGAGACTCTCAAAAACAAAAGATCATGGACTCACTTTTTTCAAGGTGCTCTTATTTTCTTTTTGAAGACGGTTGGAACCCCTTTTTTTCCTGTTCTTTTGTTCTCTTTTTTTTTTCTTTCCTTTTCAAGGGTTCCAACCCGATTTTCAGAAAACGGGGCTCCCACCTAGCAAAGGTTTTGCGGGAACCCGGCTCTTACCGGCCATGCCGGGAGTGAATGTCTCGAGCCTCGTGCGGGGAAAAGGAATGTAAGAGGGCTGGAGGTAGTAGGTGGAAATTGGGAACGAATTCTCGTCTCCCCTTACACACTTTCGCCCTATTCGCACGAGAGACGTTATTTTAAAGCACATTATCGAGCACCTTTTATTTCAAAACATGATACAGGAGTTCATGACAGGTATAGAGTCCACAACACCACACAATTCAAGGGTCCTAAGATCACTAATTCACACAATCAACCAACACAATATGAAGAAGAAAGGAGACTTCTTAAATGCATCAACATCCTCCATAGTGCTACACTACCTCCCTAGGTTGCATATTACTATAAAGATTGTCAATTCAAAGCATACTTAGCAGGCAATTGCAAGGAACACGTACTTGGAGCCCTCAAATCGAAATTTGGACAGTGGACTAGGCTCCAAGCACACAAACAGCCAAACATTCACACACATTCATAATCGAACATCCCCCCACACTTAAGCACGACATTGTCCTCAATGGAGGAAAGATAAGGAGGGTAGAACGAATTTACCAGATCAAGGGTGAATGATGGTGGACGGGGCAGGCGGTGCATTCCAGGAGGAGAGAGTAGTCGGAACACAAACACCACACAAAATCTCACAAAGGTTGAGTTATTGACTCTAAAATCAAATAACAAAACCGACTCAAACGAGGAGAAAAAGAGAAAGAAATGCAAACCGACTGGTTGGGTTGCCTCCCAACAAGCGCTTCTTTCACGTCGTTCGGTCCACCCCAAAACCTCTTTGAAGTTGAGTTTCTCGTCGATGATGTGGAATCTCAAGTCACGAGCATGTGGTATGACAGTAGATGGAAGCTCGTGCACTTGATGCAGATGAAGTCTCCACCCTCGAGACCTCTTCTTCTCTTCTCTCGTCTCATTGCCCCAAACCAGATATGACAACATCGATTGACCACCATCGCGTCCCCCAAGAGGGACCGATGTTGATGTGGCCTTGGTCTGGCAAAGAGACACTGCAAATGGGTCCTTGCTAAGCAGTTCCTCAAAGTTTGGTGGGGATATTACTTGCAACTCATGGCCGGTGCAGGCCTCTTCCACCTCAACTTCGTCCTCGACCTGGACGCCAATTGCTTCTTCAACCTCCCTTCCTTGTTCATGTGGTATCACCCCTGGGAAATGATCAAGAACTCCTCCTGCTTCACTTTCGTCATCCTCCACAACTTCTTTCTGCACCCTTTCTTGCTCTTCTTCTTCAAGCACGTATTGGAGAGCAAGTTGCCAAGCAATTTCTTTCATGAGATCTTCTTGCATCTCCTCACTCATGCCCGCCTCTTCAAAGCTCAAATTGGGATGTGGGAAGGTGTGGTCGACTACGACAGGACATTCCTGATCATGATCATCACAGGAGCTCTCCGTGACAACTTCTGTGTGCTCCACCATGTCCTTGTAGCCTTCTTCTTCCTCCTCCTCTTCTAGTATGGTAGCAGAAGGGTGATCTGGAGCAGGTTGTGCACAAGATCGCTCAAGATCATCGACGCTCTTCTTAAGGCTCAGGAGGATCTCCTCTGTTTCACGATAGGCCTGGGTACAAAGATCCATCCTAGACAATGATCTCTCACTGTCTCAAGCAAACTGCTCCATGAGAAGCCTCAATTCATAGTTTGGATCTGGCTGTGGAGTGTAGCATGGCTCTGCAGAATGGCCCGTGAAGGCCGCCATGGGTAACTCCAGCTCCGATGGCCCTTCTGGTTGTGGGGGAAAGTCTTCTTGGTAATGAGGTTGTTCTTGATATGCCCAGGGGTCTGATTGTTCTCCATAGTAAGGGGGTTGGTACTGGAACCTGAATCCATAGTCTTCTCCTCCTTGATTGCTCTAGGGAGTCTCGGGGTAATACCACTTGGATGGTGGTGGATACCCCCAATGATTGGAGAAGCCATGAGGATCCATGATTCAGATCTGCACCAACAAAAACAAAAACACCCAAGTGAAAAGCAAGGGTGGAAAAGAAAAGAAAAGAAAAACGCTAAAATAACAAACTCCTGCCTTTCCTAATAATCTAGAAAGGCACCGGCAACGACGCCAAAAACTTGACTCGCTATGACACAACTCCTAACAATGGCCAAGTGTAACCAATGAAAGGGACTGCAGTATAGTGGCTCAAGTAATAAATATCAAATCTACGGGTCTCTAGAGTTACTATTACTCAGCTTCAGTTCATTATCTAGCAAACTAGATTAAGATGAAAGAACTAAAAATACTCTAGCAAACTACAGTTAAAGTTAATCTAATTACAGGTTGGGAACTCACTCAGGTATGATTCCCCCTAGCCACTAGCCAGATTAACTATTGATGATCTCTAACTTGTTTCACTTTCATCCACAATGCGGAGAATCCTTGACTAGACCTTGAGTCTCAACTAAAGGAACAAGGCCCTCTTGAGTCAATTGCCTAGAGGGACGTATCCTTCTCTAGCACAACTGATCAAGGCGTTCTGAACTAGACTCCCTCTATCGAAAGAGGTTCTCAATCGATACAAAGTAGTGAATCAACCCTCGACTAAAGAAATCGATCCACTACTATCAATCTATGGTGCTCTATTGACCTAATCAGGTATTCGCTCTCATAGGATCAAAGCAGGATCAATAATCTCGACTAAAGCAGAATTGAATCGTGAAAACATGCATAGATTGAATATGAACTCAAGATTATCAAGTAAGAGTACTCATACAATCATCCAATCAAACAATCATAGCTAGGGTTCCTCAAAACCTAAGTGAAGGGAAGTTACTCCATAGAGAAGAGGGAGACTGCAGTAAGAATCTTCAGATGATCAGTCTTCAAGTCCGGACTTATTCCTCAAGCTTCCAAGGAGAAGAAATCCTCCAATTCCCCTCTTAGAATGCCCTCAAATCGCCCTCTCTCTCTTTGGTTCGTCCCTAGGGTGTTTGGGATCCAAAACCCAGCTCTCCCTTGCAAAAACGCACAAAACAGGCTTTTAACAGCCTGCGTTCGCGATCCCCGGTAAAAATACCCGGTCGGGTATTTTAGGTCACGACCGGAGATTTTTTCGGTTCACGACCGGGGATTTTTGGGTCACGACCGGGGATTTTTGGTTCACGATAGGGCCCCTTCTGTTTCTCAGAGAAAACCGAAACCAATTTTCCCCTATCTTCGTTTCTCCCTCGTTCGGACTCCAAATCAGGTGCCGTTTGATCCTAAACGCTCGTAGTCTCGTCCTATTTCTTCTCATGACAAGATTACATGATTATATGGTCACAAAATGAGGTAGAAATCCCTTCTTCTTCAAGTCATACCCGAGTTTCTTCCCCCGAGTCGCCAATTGATCTCCGATTGACTTGAAACTTGCGCCTACGCTTCACCTAAATGTGCTAGGACCTCAAATGTGACAAAGGAACACAACCTAGCGTAAAATAGGCCAAAGAAGCAATAATGCAAGCTTAAAAGATCAAGAAACAAAGGGGAAAACATGTGCAAATATCGAGTCATCCATCTCATAGTTTGAGTTCATAACTCTTAAAAACCTGATTAGATAATCAGTTTCGAGCTAACAATTGAAACTGCTAGCATCACGGCCATATGCTCTGCAATTGAGATAAACAATCGGTTTAGCTAGATCGTTACCTTGCCTTTCTTATACTATAAATTTGCGTCTGTATTGTAATTCTCGACTGATATATAGTTCTTTTGGTTATAGATATTCTTACGGATAAGTCAAATAAAAGCGAGAGAGGCCACAACAATTATAACATTCTCACTCATAGACTCGTAAACGTACTAAATAGGAAAAATCGTAGAGAACAGTAGTAAAACCATATCAAGGTAGTTTTAGTCTTGCCACATCAAACAAATATTATATGAAGGTTCTCCGTCATCACCTATCCAATTTCCTTTTCTATGGCTGCTACATAGAGAACGGAAGGACTCAATGGTAATTTTCATTCAAATTTCAGGTGGGCTTCTTGGAATAAATGCATGAGTATGCATGGACCATAAATGGGACACTTCCCCTGGAATCAATGTGCCCATATATGTCAGGCGTATAGAGTATGATGGGCTTCACAATGTATGCTTTGGATGTGGAAGATTTGGACATAATGAGGCGGTTTGCCCAAAGAACTCCATGGTCAACACCAGCGCTGGGGAGAGTAGCGGGATATCCTCCCAAGTCTCTCAGAAAAGGATTGAGAAGGAAAGGCCAAAGATCTTTGACGATTTTGGCCTATGGATGCTGGCGACGAGAAGGAGACGTCGAGGGGAAATTGGGGCTCAGGGCCGACATGGGGCTCACAACCAAGCAAAACTGAAGACTAAGATCATTGTTGCTACCAAGTCAACGTTTGATGCGCTGGAGGACCTAAATGACGAGCTGACTGAATTTCTATGCAATTTAGAGGCAACCAACAAAGGAGATATGGACGAGACTGTTGACACCATCTTACAGTCTAAAGGGCAAGAAAGTGATATGGAAACAAAAGCTTATACTCATCCCGAAATGGCTGGGGAAACGCTCAGCGGTGTAATGAGGAATGGAGGCGAGGGTCCTAAAGAAAAAGAGACGACACGACTCGAACCAAAGTTGGGTAAACATATCACAAAGGGATTGAAAGGAGGCAAGAACAGGGATAAAAAGGGGCACATTAGGTGGCAATGCATGGAGGTAAAGATTAGGGGGAGCCATCGAAGGGGAGTGGCACTTCCCGGGCGGTGGAGAGGAGAGACCAAAAGAAGCAACAACCGACTACTAGGGAGAGGGGACTGCGTCAACCGCTGCCCTCCACCCCACCTCTTTCAAACCGAATCAAATCTCAAGACTACTCAAGAGGTCCAGTTCGGCAGCTCAATCTTGATGCTTTCCCACAAACACTTCTCAGTCAGATAGAGGGCCGCACGAGGGGGGGTGGGAATGACACGAGCCTAGTTGAGATAGGATCACATCGACAGGTGGTCCAGGAACATGCAGTAGTGGGAGATAAGGAGGGTGACATGCATGATACGTCCACTATGGACGTTAGCACGTGATTTCGACCTCTTCGGGGTTTTCATGGGAGTTTTCTTTTCCCTTTTAGCCATTTCTTTGTCTCACATTTTTTGTGTTTTTGTTGCCTAACTGTTTATTATGTTACACATTTTCGCTTGGAATTGTAGGGGTGCGACTGACCTCGATTTTCTCATGGTTTTTAAAGAGTATTGCACGACCCATCATCCTCATATAGTGGTGATCACGGAACCCAAGATTAGCGGATCTACTGCTAGAGAAGTCATCTGTAAGATGAGTTTCGATAGTAAGTGCGTCGTAGAGGCTAACGGGTTTTCAGGTGGTATATGGATCCTTTGGTAGTTGATGGATGTGGAGCTAGAGAAGGTGGATGATTCCCGTCAGATGGTCCACTTCCGCCTGAAGCTCATGGAAGGGATTGAGGGTAGGTTTACGGCTATTTATGGGATCCCTATACCTAGCTTTTGCCGCAAGCTCTGGGAAGATATTCGTCACCTGGCTACGAATATCTCTATCCCGTGGCTGCTCGCGGGCGATTTTAATGCTATGTTGGGGATACAAGAGAAGAGCGGGGGTGCCAGGTTTAATTATAGCCACAATAGGGAGTTCAAGAGCTGTGTGGATGATTATGGGTTACACGACGTACCTTTCACTGGGCCACGCTTTACCTGGAATAGTGAGTGAGAGGCTCGACAGAGCTCTCTGCAACATCGAATGACTCCAACACTGGCCAGAGACTTCTACCCTACATATGGAGAAGCTCAGGTATGATCATAGACCCCATCTTGGTGAGTATGGAGCAGTCGGGGACAGTGAGAGCGGGGGAGAGACCATTTCGTTTCTTGGCACTGTGGCTCCTCCATGATGACTTTAAACGCATCCTTTGGGAGAGCTGGGTTGTGGAGAATGAGTTCAAAGAATCCCTCTCGGAGTTACTAAAACTCCGAGGCACTGGAATAGGCCACTTTCGGGAACATTATTGAAAAGAAGAAGGATTTGTCGAAGCGCCTGCGGAAACTGGAGGAGCTTAATGAGCATCATCCGCTGGGAGCTACACTTGAGGAGAAAGAAACAACCCGAGCCGCCTTACATGCCATTCTCAAAGAGGAGGAAGTCATGTGGTATCAAAAGTCTCGGGCATCAGTGGTTCGTGGAGGGAGCCAGGAATACCAAGTTTTTTCCACTTGGCCACCTTGAGACGTCGAAGTAGGAATAAGGTGCGGAGGCTCAAGAATGGGAATGATGATTGGGTGGAAGATCCAGGGGCTTTGCTCGATTTAGTGAGGGAGTATTTCTACACTATTTTCCAGGTGGACACCTCCCCCTCAACTAGTGTTCGTGCTGATTTCCCGGACTGTAGTCCCCTGGCCAACTCTCTCAATGTGGATCTTACCCAGGATGAGATCATGGTGGCGGTAAAGGACATGGGTGCGTTGAAGGCACCAGGCAAGGACTGCTTGTCTGCTTCCAACCTTTGTTCTTCTAGAGATAATGGACAACGGTGGGGGCGCGCTTTTGTGCTTTCTTGGCTGGTTGCTTTAGTACCCTCGATCTCATTAGCACCATCAATGAGACTCTTCTGGTGCTTATCCCGAAAAAGCCTACTCCGGAAAGAGTTTCTGACTTTTACCCTATCAGTCTTTGTAACGTGTCCTACAAGACACTCACAAAGTGCTTGGCCAATCGTCTAAAGCCTCTCATGACAAAGCTAGTGGCCCCTACCCAAACTAGCTTTGTACTGGGGTGGCACATTCAGGATAATATTATTCATTCTGCAGGAGGTGGTACATACGATGCATACAAGGACAGGGGAAAAAGGTCGGATGGTCTAAAAGATTGATTTGGAGAAAGCTTATGATAGGCTGAGCCAGAGCTTCATTAAGGACACTCTGATCCAAGAGGGCCTCCCGATTCGTTTTATTGCAGCGACGATGGCATGTGTGTCAACCCCGACTATGGAGATTTTGAGGGAAGGGTTATAGACCGAGAGGTTCTCTCCTTCCCAAGATTTGTGGCAAGGTTATCCACTATCCCCATACCTTTTTACTCTTTGTGTGGAGCGCCTAAGCCATTTGATTGGAGAGGTTGTGGAAGGGCGATGGAAACCTATTCAGCTGGTCAAGGGAGGTACCAAAATCACTCATCTTTTTTTCCTGATGACCTTGTTCTTTTTGCAGAAGCCTCGGAGTCACAAGCTGCGACGATTCTGAATTGCTTGAACGAGTTCTGTGATGCGTCCGGGGAGATGGTGAGTAGAGAGAAGTCCTGGATCTATTTCTCCAAGAATATGGACTGCTAGCTTTGCCGAGAGATTAGTGATGGAATGGGCATACCGATGACACATGACCTTGGTAGATACCTGGGAGTCCCGATCTTACATGGCAGAGTTACTAAACATACTTACAGTTATCTCATTGATATTATTGATAAGCGTCTTGTAGGTTGGAAGGCGGAGAATCTTTCGCTGGCGGGACGGGTTACTTTGGCCCTGTTAGTGCTTAATGTCATCCCGACTTATGTGATGCAGACGTCTGTCCTCCCAGCTTCGATATGTGACTACTTGGATTGTCGTATTCGAGGGTTCATCTGGGGATCTCAACAAGGGAACCACCGCATGCATTGAGTGAATTGGGAGACTATCTACCGTCCGAAAGACATGGGAGGATTGGGGCTCAGGAACGCTCGGGACCTGAATACCGCTTTCCTGAGCAAGCTTGCCTGGACCATCCTAAGGAACCCTGGTTAACTATGGGTTCGGGTCTTAACGGGAAAATATCTTAGGGAGGGTCCTAACGGGGTGATTAGTTTGCGCAGGAAATTGCGATGCTCAATCCTGTGGTGAAGGATTCGGCGCATTTGGAGTCTGATGGACAAGGGTGTGCGGTCGAGTGTTCGAGATGGAAGGAGTACCTCGTTTTGGAATACATTGTGGATGGATAGCGGAGAGATCCTTACAAACAATGTGGTGAACTAGGATGATAGCTTCCCGACGGATGCAATGGTGGCGGAGATGGTGAATGAACAAGGTGAGTGGGATATTTCTACTATTAGGCGCTACTTACCAGATTCTGTTATCTTGCAGGTGCTGGGAATGCCGCCCTTACGAGCTGACTTGGGAGAGGATGAAATGGTGTGGGGTCTGGAGCAACGAGGAAATTTCACACTCAAATCGACGTACAGATTGGTGGCGGAACTGGACGGCGGCGAAGCAGATCCCTCCTGGCAATGCAGTCAAAATCGAGATTTTGATCGTAAAATCGTAGGATTTTAGGATTTTACTTAGGGATTCCGATCCTGATTTTACTATAAAATCGATGTACCTTAAAATCGTTCAAAATCGGGATTAAAATCTTTTAAATCGTACCAAAATCGGGATTTTGATCCTATGTGAACAAAATAGGGAGCTTGAGCCAATTCAAAAGAAGTAGAATTGTTTTAGTGGAAAGGGCAATGACGGGGATCTTCTCATATATTTTTTCTATTAAAAGAACATTTGAAAAGAAGAAAAAACTAATTAGGGTTCGGTCAACCCTTTTCCCTTCTCCTTGTTTAACTCATCGGTAAAACAATTGTAAGAATATTGTTAGTGCGTAAGAATTAATATTATTATTAAAAAATTATTTTTATTAATGAATATATTTGTATCAAACCAATGACATTAATTATTTTATTGGATTTCAGCTATTCTTAGTTTTAAATCATGCTTAGTAGACGATGTCAGAATACTACTTTGAGTTAAACTACCTAGACACAACATGAAAAACAAGAGCTGAACCCCATGAGCTCTATGCCTCTATCCCTTCCTCATAAATTATTTTGAGTTACACATTAAATAACAATTAAAATGATGATTTTGGAACATTAATCTTGAAAATTATCAGTTTAAATGTTATAAGTCTTTGTGTTATTAATTATTTACCTTATTAATATTATCATATGTTCATTTCAATATGGTACTAAAAATCCTACGATTCTACGATTAGATTTTACGATTCCGATTTTACCCCAGTTTTGATTTTAGGTAAAATCCCGAATTTAACTGCTTTGCCTCCTGGAAGAAGTTGTGGATGTGGCCATGGCCTAGCCGAGTCCGACACTTCTTATGGTTGGCGGCCCATGATAGGCTTCTAACTAATACCGAGCGACGATGACGACATCTCACTAGCCAAGACCTGTGTGCTCGATGCTCCGCCGACAACGAGTCTTGACCATGTACTGCGTCACTACAGGTACGCCAGGGTCGTGTGGGATCACATTCTCCCAGAAGCGAGCTCCCTTACGGACAATCGACCCCTCAACAATTGGATGCTTGAGTTCCTTTCCAGCCCCACCAAGTAGGTTCGCTTTGGTTTTACTTGCTGGTTTCTTTGGCATGCACGGAATGACTTCATTTTCCAGATATCGTGGAAGAACCCAACAAGTTATCGTAAAGGATCCTAGCCCGGGAGGTCATTGCGCAGCAGAGCAAGGCAGCGAACCAAGCTATTTCAGTGGGGAGGTCGAAGTTGCGTCGATACGTGGCTCTTGGGTGGAGACCGACTCCGATAGGTTGGATAGCAGTGAACTCCGACGGGTCAGTTCTGAGCCCATCGGGGTTAACCGCTGCAGGAGGGGCGCTTATAGACGGGCATGGTCGCTTGTTGAGGGCGTTCCATCACCCGTGCCGAGATTTGGGGGGCTTTGCTAGGATTTGAACTCACATGTGACACAGGTCAAAGGTGTGTCGAGCTTCAGCTGGACTCGTGAACTGCGGTTACACTCCTTCAAGATACCGAATCCCATCACCATCAGCACGCTAGTCTCGTGCTACGTTTCCAAGAGCTAATATGGAGGGATTGGTCTGTCTGTATTAATCATGTTCATGGAGAGTTTAATTTCTTGGCCGATTGTCTAGCTCATAAGGGGCATTGTCTGCCACCTGGTTGTCACTCTATCGCTTTGTCCGATCCCGATGTTTGTCGGTGGTCCCTTTTTGACTGTGTAGGTGGCTTTACAGTCCGTTCGGTTAATGAATAAGAGGTAGGGGTGCTCTGCACCTGTTTTCATAAAAAAAAAATGCGCCCATATATGTATATCCAATTATGGTGTACCTGGCCAATTTCCCCTAAAATTGAAATTAATGGCTGATTCTCAGAAACGTATACCGGTCGCATTCTTTTATCCCCTCATTAATATTTTTGTATTATGGGCTTTGATTAATTAATCAGGTAATTATTAAATTTATTGAGATTAAGGTTACTAAATTATTAAGACATGCCTATTTTAGTCCAAGTTTATCGAAAATATTATAATTATTCTAGGAAGATGAATTGTACGCTAAATGACCATGTCAAAAGGATAATCATCGATGATGTGTCAAGTGCATTGCACTCAGATAAAGAAGAACTTATCAAGTGATAAAAAAATTGAGAAGAATCGGTTTATGTATATTGTATAAAATAATAAATTCGAATATCATGGTTAAGAAATGAAGTTATAACGTTTTACATCGAGAGTTTATAAACCTACACTGCGTGAATGAGTTATGATTAGATAATTGAACTATCATGAGTGGATATGATATATATGCTTGAAATGTTCAACACGAGTGTCTAATTGACATAACAAACAGACAATAATCATTCATTAGGTGTCTCTACATAACAATGTACATTACTTATGTACATTATGAAAAACAATCATTGATTGAGCATTGTAATTGCGAAATTAGTGTATACTCTATGAAGGTCTCATAAACCTATATTAAAGTTACACGTCAAAGACCACAAATACTTAATAATATAATACTACGACAAAATAACTAATTTTGTAGGTAAAAATAGTTAGTTATGAGGATAAATTGATGTTACATAATAATAAAAAAATTTCATTTGACAGGTGGTTATATGCGTTGAAGAAATTCTCAATTGAGAATTATTCGATGAACAAAACAATGACCAAATTCCATCTTCAAACATTTAATGTAAGTATAGTATGTATCAATGTCAAATTTTGTGCGTTTTACAATTTAATATGTATTCAAGTGGTTGACTCTGACCAATCTATATTTGAAGCGCAAAACGTTTTCCTCATGGTATTACCATCAATGACAAATCTTATCGGTTTATTATCACTTCAATGATTATGATTATTCGATATTATGAAATTATTTTCCCTCTTATATTTTCATATGTTAATTCACATAAGTCATAGTTGAGGAGAATTGAACAATTATTGACAAAATAAGTATGAAAGAGAATGTGTTCTTTATATAACAAAATGCCAATACTACAGTGTCGCTATAAAAAGTGCGGCACCGGTGACGCTATTTCTAATTGGGCCACGTGGATTGTGATGTGGTATGGGCTGGCTTTGTTTAATCCATGCCTGATTCATCAAACCTACCCAAATAGACGAGATTCTTTCCTTCTACTGTGTTTTTTCGGTTGAACAATCTCCCTCTCCGGCGGCTCTCCAGAAGGACTTCTAACGCCTTCTACGTTGTCGATTCCAGCTCAAGGTCTTTCAATCGACTCCACTGAAATCACTCTCCGTTTCATCCTTCATTCATTTTGAAAAACAAAGGCAACGAATCATGCGTTGTGCCGTCGTCACCGTTCCTCTATTTCCGTCGAGCAGCGCCGCCACAGTAACAGACGACCCCATCTCACGAAGAAGATATTCGCCCTCCCTCTGTGTTGTCCCCCTCGCTCTCCGTCGTCCCTTTTTGAATCGTCGCAACCAAGTTTCTAGAGGTGCGGAGCGACTTTACCCACCTAATCAAAAGGCATACAAGTAAGTCGAGGGTTGTTTGTTTGTGGATGTAGGAAATTCATTGGGTTGTTTTAATTCCCTATGGCGTTTGAGGTAGTATGTCATGGATTCTGCAATTGGAGGCTCAAAATTTTGTTTTCCCTTATTTTTGGATTAATCGAGCAGCAGGAGAGCCGATGTTCTGTCATATTCTTGTCTCTGTGCCTTTTTTCCCAGTTAATGAAAGGAATAGTTTGTCTACTTGTCTACCTGTGCTTTGGGCGCGAGCCTATTGTTCATGATGCTCTATCCATGTTGTTTGTTGTTATTCGGCAGTGAAGGGATACATATCCATGAGAGCATTTTCAGATTGGAGACTACCTAGTAGTTATTGTATTTTCGTGTTTGGGTTTTAGATTGTTCTAAATGGCTTAAAAAGGACAGGGGAAAGAAAAAAGGCACCATTTTTGCATGTGATCTCTATTCAGTATTCAAAGAGATTTCAAAGTTTGGTGTGTAAAAAAAGTCATTACTAGCTGAACCTAGAAGATTAAGATCATAGATAGTTGTTGTTTTTACCATAAAGAAAGAGGGACAAAAAGGAAGCATGCTGCATGAAGGAGAAGAACAACAACATCATACATTTTCTTATATATATAGTATTGTATGTTCATTGGGGGAGGTGATAAGATTTAGAGATTGTGAGGAATTCGCCAGAAAACAGATTGGGGAAAATTGCTCATAGTGGGCTTTTCCATTGAGATAAAAGCTTATATACATCCTGTAAACTAGCATTTATAATTAGTCGTTAAACCAACATTCTAACTAGCCTATGAACTCTGTACACTATCTAATTACACAGTTAAACTTGAAGGTTGTCGTTGCACTATACAAAACGGTGTGTTGCTTCTCTTTTTGTCCATGACCACATCATCAACATTCTTCTCTGCTTTTGTCATTCTTCTTCCCAGATCAGCAGCATCTTTTCTATGGTCAGCAACTAGCTCTAGAGCATCTTCATCTTCATCATTCATGCTCCTTTTCAGGAGGGTCTGTCTTCTGGCCTTCCACTTTCCCTCTTTAATGTAATATATTGTTAGATCCTTCTTTCTTCTTCTTTAAGCTTGTTTCTTGGAGATGTTGTAACAAACGACCTTGAAGAAATTTGATGTCGTTCTTATATATGAAAAGAAAGATTCAAGCTTCATTGTTCAAGCAGTTCAGTAGTTGTTATCCTGCATGTCTGTTATTTCCTTTTCTGCATACTCTTAGTTAGTAAAATGGGTAGGGATATTGTCACCGACAAAAGAACAAAGGGCTAGCTAGTAAATAGTAATGCATGTAGGTAGCTGTTTGACTTATTGCAGCTGCTCAAATAAATATGGAGTGTGAGTGTTAGAAACCGGGTTCTAGGAGCGTCCAGATTCTTGTAGAGGATGGGGAAAACTAGCTAGATCAATTAAGGATTGATCTAATTAGTGATTAGAGAAATGAAGGAGAAGCGGACTCGTCGTGCTTCGGCAAAAATCGAGAGAGACAAAGAGATGACGAAGGTTGAGTCGCCCCTAGAGAGAATTCTGCTTGCAGATGAAACTTGGAGCTTCTTGTCCATGAACTTGTTCAGGTCTGGAGGCTTCCTCAGAGTTGAATAGCGGCGGCAAGTGGCGATGATTGGCGACGGAGCGAGGAGCGGATCTGGGCGTCCTGATTTCTCAACGAGGGCGATGGAGAGCGGTGAGGAGATCGAAGGCGGTCAGAGACAGAGCGTGGGAGGGAGGCACCGATTTGGGGATTGATCCCGGTGTGCGGGAGAGAATTAGAAAACTAGAAATTTTGTTCTCTGATTATGTCAAAAAATAAAACTAAAATCAATTTAATTAATGAAAACACAAAACAGAATAATGGACGGAAAATAATTCTCTGTGAGTTTGGGAGAGGTAGGTTGGGCCATTTTAATGGGCCGCCGAGTTTTGGCCATGTTTATTAAACAAACCCAGGTTGTGCCACGTCATTTCACGTGGACCCATCAAAATTTGCGTTACCGGTGCCACAGTTTTTACAGCGGCACCGTAGTATTGGCCATAACAAAAAGGAACAATAAAGAGGTCCAACTTAAGCTTCGCATTCATGATTTAAACTTTTAATTTGAGCCCAATATACAATTTGGGTACAAGGGTGTAGTGAGAATGTTCCTCTCTATGGCAAGATAATAAATGTCATTCTCGCACATATTGGTTATCGTTGTGAGAGAGTGGTATAAGATACAACATAACTTTCTCCTAACAACTCGAGTTATTGGGGCCAACTGGTTTATGACATGGTATCAGAGCTTGTTTGGCCAAGTGGTCATGTGTTCGATTCTCCACGACCCACAACATTAACAGTTGATTAAGGCACATGGTATGGTGGGCCTGTGCAAACTTAAAGCCCATGGGTTGGCTTTCGTTTGACCTCGAGTTATTGTGACCAACTAGTTTATGACAATCCCCACCAAAATATTACAAGAGTATTAAAATGCTAAGTCTTTCTCTAATATGTAGAACAATTTATATTCCTTCCAACACAAAGTTGTCAAAGTTGAGAATTGGTATTGTGCTATGTTAACGCTAAACCTATCCACCAAAAGCGAAAAAGACTCCCACGAGTACTTAAGTGTGAATTGTACAAGAACATCAAAGCCTATATGAACTAGGTAGCAATCCATTCTTAACTTGAAATTCATTCATTTGAAGGAAAAATCATCATACCATTTAATACAAATTGTTTGACTTAAATAGTTGATCTCAATTGCTATAATTTTATATGTTTCTGATCCAGGTCCGAGTTTTGGACAAAGTATTACTAGATAAAGACAAAATGAGGACATGCACCTCCTTATCTCCTACAAATTGAGGGAATGGAGTGAAAGTTTCACAACAAATTCATCTATTTCAACATCACGAACACGCAAGTGAGTATACAATTTTTTAAGACAAGAAAGGATTAAAGAGCCAATCTCAGAAAATGTCAAAACTTGGACGTTATAAATTTTACATATGCGAAATTGATGTTTCATATTTTCAAACATTTTACTATGGAAATTTTGAACTTACTGATGTGTAGGAAAGGAAGAGTATCCAAAAGTGGAAGTAGTGGATAATGTGATTGAAATAATAATGACTTGAATGAAATAAAATTATACTTGCAGCGGAGATTGAAATAATAATGACTTGATTGAAAAGAGATACTATTCATGTTGGCTGGAGATAGAGGTTTCGACAAAGAGAAACAACCAATCATCGACAATATATAATGTCTCGAATGAAATAACATTATACTTGCGGCGTCATGTTTGCAAACATTCTCTAATTAAACTTTCGATTTCATTGAAAATCGAGAGAAGAAGAAAGAGCCTTTTTTTTGGAGGAATTGTCTGTTAATATTCAAGGTAGTGAATTTGATAATGAAGACGATGGAATTGTTGATAAGAAGAAAGATAATATTGATGATGGAGATTATTGTTGTTTATGCCATCAACACAATGTATTTGGCTATCCGTCCCAACGGGCGGGCTCGAATCTAGTGATAATTAATACACAGCTTGACGGTAAAGAAAAAAGTGGAGTGCGTAACTGCGGATTGGAGTAGGGCTACACCAAAGAAGGAATTCATGAAATCTGTTTGGAGTTTTGACACAAACTAATACCAGTTAACAGCCCATGAGCCGGCCCAAGGCTAATAAATCCCGTTCAAAAGTCCCAAAAGCCCACTGTCGTCTCTCATTCATCTCGACCCATCAGGGTTTGTCTCAAGTCTGTCCCCACTCAATACAAAAACAAACTCTGTTTCCAAGCAGTTGAGGGACGACCCTTTAGAGTTTAGAGGCTAGACTAAACAAAGGCCACATTCTCCACATTTTTTCATTGCAAAAACAGAGCGCAGATTACACTTGTTAAACGGAAAGAAACAGAAGAAGGAAACGAAACGAACAGATAGCCGGATACAAGAAACAACTTTTAAACTTTTAGCTAGAGCATGACGACTTAACCAGCTCTAGCTTAACATCACGTACTTTGACAGACAAACAAAAACTACCACAAGTTATGAAACTCATTTTTAACCATTATATTTTTTCTTCAGGCCACCCCTGCTGCACGGCCATCACCACCACCACCACCCGCCGCCGCCGGCAACTGAAGCTCCACGTCCTGTTCCTCCTTATTAAAGACCATCGTCGACACAGGATCTCCGTGCTTATCCACTTCTCCCAGCGGAGCCACCGCCACCAGCTTCTCCTCCATATCTTTCCCCCACAGCACGGCGTACAGCCCCCCGATTATGAACACCGACCCTATCAGCGTCCCCATGAACAGCTTCTCCCCGAGGAAGGCCCAGCTCAGCACCGCCACCACCACGAGCAGCAGCGGCGTGAAAACCGACACGTACAACGCGCCCCTCTTCTGTATGCTCCACGCCGTCAGCGAGAATCCGAGCGCCGAACACACGACCCCCTGTTTTTTTCAATCAATGAATCGATTAATTAATTTAATTAATTAATCGAGCTTGGTTAATAATGATAATAATAATAATGGAGTTGTTGTTGCTACCGAATAGAGGGCGGCGGAGAGGGCGCCGGGATTGGCGAGGGACCACTGGGCCACGTGGTGATTGGGCCCCGCGGCGATGAGGATGCACTGGATCGAGCCCATGAAGCACATGAGCCAGCTGCAGGTGTAGGGGGCCGGGAACGACTCGCTGACCCGGGCCTGGAGGACGAACCACACGGCCCAGGAGAGCGCGCTCCCGATGATCAGCAGCGGGCCCAGGAACGACATCGCGGTACTCGCGGCGCTGCTGCTGGCGCCGGCTCCGCCGGCGGCGTTGTCGATGACGTGGATGCCGGATTCGGGGATCTTGATGATGTGGCCGTGGTAGAACGAAAGCACCATCGCGCCTCCCACGCAGCAGATCGTGCCCATCACCTTGGCCTGTCCAGAAATTCTCTTGATCCCCACCGACTCCTGCCTGCACGCGCCACCAGGTGATAATTATTAGTTAGTGTTCCTTAATTTTTAGTTAGTTATTAATCGGTCAATTAGTGTTGTTGGTGGAGTTTGTTAATTGTATTAATTATTACCTGAAGAGGACAGCGAGGACGAAGGTGAGAGCGGGTAGGGTGTTGGATAGTGCGCAGCCGATTGTCGGGGTTGATAGTTGCAGTCCAATGAAGTAGAGGACCTGGTTTCCAGTCACTCTGTGCATCGCCCAATTTGATTAGATTAATGCGAGTGAGATGTAGGATTAAGCCAGTAGGTAGGGGGTTAATTAATTAGTTAAGTAAGTGATTTAAGATGATTAGTGAGAGTGATCTTACCCAGTGAGGGAGCACCAGAAGATGTTGACCAGCAGAGGGATGGTGATCTTTGGCCTGGTATTCCTGCATAATAATTACCACCCAATTAATTACCGATTAAAGTTTGATCAGTTCAATCATGTACAAAATATTACAAGCTAATGAAATATGCTGAGCTGGCATGCATCTTTGCTATCCTACCTAGGGAAATGGAGAAAAGCTAGAGGTAAAAAGTCAGGGAGGAGGAGAGTAGGATTTCACTGATTGGGTTACTCGTATAAAAAGTTATATGAATTTTTACTGGTGGGATTTACTTGACGGGTCACCATCAGTAAACATAGAAAAAAAACGTCGCCGTTTCAGTATCTCTCTTTCCCAGAGAGTAGGTGGAGTAAAGAAGAAGAAGAAGAAGAAGAATTAATGAATCGGAACGACAGCGAGGGAGCAGCTTCCTGCTTCCATGAACCTGGTGAGCAGCTGGCTGCAGGGAGAGGATCGAAGAAGGGAGCTGCCACGTGGCATCCATGCATAATAAGTTAATAACTGTTAATTCATTTTTATTTTGGGATGAACTCATAAGAAACCTGCCAACCAACCAATTTCAGTAAATTCCCATTACGTTTACGTGAATTAATCCTCCTCCTCCTCCTCTAACAGCCTAAATCGATGGAGTAAAATACCATCCACAGCTAGCTAATCAACAACAGCTCAGCAGTAGCCATCAACAGTTACTCCAACGTAACTCTCTTTGCAGGTTGGTTCGATCAATATAATCGAACCCAAAACCGAAACCCGGGCAACAGCCAAATATAACCTTTGTTGAAAGTGTGTACGAAAACCCAAGCTCAAGGCCGACCGTCGATTCATTTCCACTTTAACCGAACCGCCATGTGAAAACAAAACTCAGAAACCCAACAAACAAACAAACAAACCATTCCAAAAGGAAGCAAAAAGGCTAGTGCATGGTACGTAAGAAAGTAAGCAACCACCCACGACGGGTTAATCTGATAACGAGAGAGAAAAGAAAAGCTATAGCTAGCCACCATTTTATTTTTTACTTATAAAAGATAATAAATATTATATAGATTCATGCATGCGTCAGAAAAGCCAGCCAGCATTTCAGTAGAGACGTTATACCTCTCAAGGTAGAAAGCCAAGGGTGCGAGAGCGACGGTGGCGAAGATCTGCCGGTAAGCGACGAGGACGAGCGGCTGCATTCCGGCGTTCATGGCCACCTTGGCTATGACGTTCATTCCGGCGTACCCAACTTGGACCAGAACCATGACCACCAGCGGCAACAAACCCATCAAACCCTTCTCCGCCGCCATTCTTCTTCTTCTTCTTCACAATACACAGACGTACAATACTGTATTTTGATAGTATACGTATAGCGTATAGTAATACTAGTATACAGACCGCGTATGTATTGCTAGCTAGCCTTCCCCGCTCTTCTGACGAAGAGGTGGAGGGATTGCTAGTTAGTATCTCTCTTGATAACTAGGAGGGCTTAGAAATGCAAGTGGAGAGAGTACAGAAAATGAGAGGTGAGGAAGAGGGTTTATATAGGAGAAATTTTTGGAGAGGAAAGAGACAAAAGGAGGGAGGGGTTTTGGTATATTCAATTTTTTTTTTCTTCTTCTTCCATGAGATGGATGGCTGTAGGTGAAGCTAGCTAGGTGTGCTATTGTGTGTGCGCGGTGGGTGTCTATGTGTGTGTAGAAAAAGTGTGGAAGGAAACGGTTTAAGAAACCCACTTGTGATATTGCGTGGGACTTCAAAAGAGAACCCTAAACCATAGATAAAAACAGGGTAAGATCGTATCAGAAGAAACATTAGTAGGGTTTTTTTTTGTGTTGGAATCGTGTGATTCGAATGTTTCATACTTATTGAAATTGTCTAATCAATTTTGACTCTACAGTATGATATTTTTTCCCTTTCAATTTAGACCACTGGTACGACACGGTTTCACAAACATAGACACTCACAGTGGCGTAGTCAGAAATTCATCTAAGATGGGTCAAACGAGGACAAAAAAATATAATTTATGTTTCATGATGATGTGTTCATGTTAAGATACCACAACGAAAAATCATTCATGATTCTACAATTCATCTTACTTAAGAAAGTGTTTTTTTACTTTTGCTTCTTGCAGCAAGTGCTCTTCCAACACTTGAATGACAAACCCATAGCAGCAAACACCTCTAAGTTTCGAGTTTTGTTTATATTAAACCCACTCACATAATATATGAAATAAAAGTTAAATATATATATATCACAAAATATTATTTTTAGTAAAATTATCTAGGAAATTTTGTATTCAATCAACAATGGCATAAATAAATGTACTCCACATTTTTGGGCCAAGGTGGTGCAAATGACCCACCTTGGCCTCGTGTGGCTCCGCCAATGGACACACATACACATACAAGTATGTGTCAAGAATCAGTTGATTTCAATGACCCAATTACTCAAGCTATTGGGAGACATTCAAATATGCATCATGTACCATTTACTAACCCCCCCCCCCCCCCCACTCCCGGCCCACACACACACAAACGAAAGCCGATTCATATTCGCACAAGTTCGGATTGTGCTTAACAAAATAAATGGGAGTCACCGAGATTCAAACAAAAGACCTATCGGTCACATAAGACTATGATACCATGTCAAGAACCAATTGATTCCACAACTCGCGTTTTGAGAGAGATTCGATTATGAATCATTAACCGTTTACGTACACACCCCTGATATGAAAGTCGATTCTTATGTACTTGAACTTTGCACTGCTCCGAATACCATCAACTAATTTATTCTCATCATGTATGATTATCGTACCATTACCCACATACACAATATATACCATCCATATACACATATTACCCACCCATTGCTAATGCTAGCTACCCGATGATGATCCCCTGTCTTTCTGTTTCTCTTTTTATTGTTTTGGTCTATGTCTCAATGCTTTCCCTCTTTATTCCCATTTGTCTTGCTATGCCTTTACTCCACCACCTTTCCTTGCTAGCTCCCACTCTCAATTCTTAAAAACTATATAATGTAAAAGATATCAATAATACTCGCTTTTATGTTTTGTTGACTGGATGATCATATCAATGGCTACTGGTTAGCTAGTTTGATTACTACTCGATGTTGTTGAGAAAATCAGACTAATCATATCCATTTTGATATTAGCTAGGGAGGTGATGTTTGATGTCGATATTAAGGTACGAAAACGATGAGTCACATCTAGTTTGATTAATTAGTAAAAGATATATATATATATATATATATGATGTCTAAAGTCGGTATTAATGCACCAATTGATAAGCATATATTTGTGCATGACAGACTAAAGTAGTACTAGCTGATCATGGACTAGAATAGAGTTTAAGGTGAACGTTTGCTTGTCCAATAATACACCACATTTGCTTGCTTAATTGCTAATTAATTAAGACCGATAGCTAGCTAGCTCTTCCGTCATTCATGTCCTATTAATTAATTTAAACTAATTCCAAAGGTTACCCATGGATACGAATATACATTGCTTTATGTGTTGATGAATGTTACATGGATTCCACTAATGCTAGCTAGCTATATATGTGTGTATGTCCTCTCAATCGTTATATTATCACTATATTTGTGCTTGCACGGTTTAATTTCACTCAACTGTGATACGCGAAATCATGAACAAGAATCAAGTATTGGAATGTTGTTTAATTGTCCAATATGTAGCATTCATCATTCAATGCATACGATCATATGGTTAGACAAATTTTGGAAGGTGATATAGTTAGGGATAGAATTCCTGTTAATGTACAAATCCTTGTAACGGTAAGAACCCTTAAACGATATGTTGTTTTTTTGGGTCTGCTAATGAATTATTAGAGTGAGATGTTGTAGGTAAGTGGATCATCATAGGGCATATTAGGGCAGCTAATAATGCGTTACACGACAACGTTAAGTACGTAGTCTCTTTTTGATCATGCAATAATGTTAACAACCGGAGGCACTATATATACGGATCCCTATATAGCTAGATATCTTATCTTTTTTGTTTTCCCTTCTTTTCTTAAGGGCCAGTTTGTCTCGTAACGCTTAGTGGGTGTAAAATACAAGCAATTGGGGGTTAACCAACTTACGTGTTCGCACCACATCTAAGTACGGTGGTGGATTTCCCTGTAGTGCTAGCTTAGTTAGATGGTTTTGTGAGAGTTCTGCGTCTTGTCAAGAACCGGTTGATTCCAATAACTCGAGTTGCTACGGGCTTAAAGTTTGTACAGGTTCGGACACTATGTGATTAATCGAACAGATGGGGGCCATCGGGATTGGAACAGAAGACCTCACGATCAAAGAAAGACTCTGATATCATGTCAAGAACTAATTACTCCCAATAACTCGAATTATCGTTTAGTAACACCGTTTTCGTATATGGATAAGGGTTACACGCTGTACTCCTCCACCGTTATATGTTACTGTTTGTAGTGTTTGCGGGATACTAGAAGCAAAGTTAGTGGAAGTAATGCGTCTTAGGTTCCACACCCCATTTGTAGTAGTGGAGCTATGACATGTGGTTTCTGAGGTTATGGTCTCCACTCCACTCGCAAATCGTAGATACGTAGAGATCTTATAATTAATATCCGGAAAGAGTTAATGGTGCTTTTTGGCTCTTGAACTATACGATTTTTTTCGGTCTTGAACTATTTATTTTCCCTACTATAATCCTTGAGATACAAATTCTTTCATCATATGTTCTTCTTATTGTTTAAAGTCTGTTAGTCTCTCTCAAATTGGGACCTACCTACTGACTGGATTTGCCAACTAACATTGATTCAATCCTTTATTGCCTGGTTGCGCGGGCTCTCTGGGATTATTCTGGACTGGAGTATTTGGGAGAGGGTTTGCCTCGGCATACCTTTCCATTGTTTCTTAAGCGTCTGTTGGGTTTGATCCATCAACCGTCTGTGGTTATGGCGGTTGTTGCTATCCTTTGGAGGATCTGGCGATCTCGAAAATGGGTAGTCTTTTAAGGCAAGCAATTTGGGATCCCGGCGCTCATGCGACAGTTTTACCAACACTATGAGGAGTGGGTGGGTCTTCCAGCGGATCAGGCACCTATGGTACAAATCCCAATAGTGTTGTCCAATGCTCATATGGGTGATGCCCAGTTTGTTTGCATGTGGGACGAGGCTACTAAGGGTGGGTCTCATTCGGCTGGTGGGGTGGTTCTTTTTGACCCAACCCAGACGCTCCTGTTGGCTAGAGGGGTCCAGTTTCCTCATTTGGATGATCCAGTCGTAGTGGAAATTCTTGTGCTTAGGGAAGCTATTATTTGGTGTGTGGAGCAAGGCTTGTCGGCGGTCCGTTTTGAGGGCGATGCGAAGGTGATTATTGACAAAATTAATCAAGCCGATACAAGAGATAGCCGGTTGGGTGCAGTTCTGGAAGAGATTGTTCATTATTTTCGTACTCAGCCTGGTTTTAGTGTGCGTTTTGTAGGTCGGGATAACAATAGGGTAGCTCATTTGGTAGATAGGAAAGCCCTCTCTTTGTATTCGACTATGAGTCGCTTCTTTGATTTCCAGACCTGGCTGGGTTCCAGGGTGTAACTGTCTATGGTTTTGATCAATATATGATATCTTTTGACAAAAAAAAAGGCTTATAAGATTAATGGTATTTAGCTACAATAAGAAAAATGTTTCTATTCGAAGGATTAGATCAGGAAAACCAATAATACAAAGGTCATCATAGGAAAACTTTCATAATTCATGGAAATAATTAAAACCATTTGGTTATTAAGACTCCACTCTACTCTTCCCGATTCGCACGATTCAATTCTCTTAACCTTCATATTTGCCCCCGGTACTAACTGGCTCGCATTTATGGAACCGTATATTTCTACGTTACGATCTACATGCAAAAACGACTATTTGATTGTGGATCGGATAATTGAATAAGGTTAAACAGGTACTTATTCCGGCCTGTTTTTCTGTATTCAATGAATGTGGATCCCGGTTTATGATGATGAGGTTTGCCCTTGTTAACAGGATGATGCATTCCTTTTCTTCTATAGCCTTCTTGTTAGCATTCCTTGTACGTACGTATGCCCATATTGCAGGCCGGTCCGTGACGTGGTGAATTCCATTTCCAGAAAACAATTCGATGATCTTTTCATAAAGGTATAAGGGCCAAAAAAAAACAAATTTTTTTTAAGGGTTTGCCTTTTTGTTTACGCCTTTTGTTTATATATTCAGTCAATTCTGCTCATCTCTTTTATGTGGCACCAAATTAAAGCAACCGAGACACTGCATGCAAACTCAGTATCCACCTCCCTAGCTAGCTTTTTCTTTTTTCCGCAAAAACAAAAAATCAAGCTTCATAGCCACACTTGACAATTTTTTGACAATAGGATATGCATAGGCATACAGTCTTCGTTACACTACTGTGATGGCCTTCGTAGCTAAGCAAGGAAAGGACAAGTACATTGTTATGGAGATAATTAACTAAAACCTAATCAAAACTATACTCTACTCAAGTTTTCAGCTCCGAAACGAAAATCTCATCCGAATTACTGTTAACAGAGCAATTCAATGCACTTATTTTTCTCGTCGCGAAGTTAATGGAGCAATTCAATGCCGTTGCTTTTCTCGTTGCGATCGCCACCCAATCAGGGAGAATAAACTCGTGGACGCGCGTGCACATGGTCGAACGCACGCAAGCGGATCTTACCACCGACACCACCACCCTACCTCGTCCCGTAATGATTACCAGCTTAACTTCTGCCTTATGCATGCCTATTATGGGACACTTGGACATAGCTTGTTTTAACATAGAAAAGTAAGGCAAGTAACGTTTCCAACACAAAAAGAAATGATCACCGCGGGAGAAAAGAGCTATGACGTCTAAGCTAGCTCTATGTTATGAGTTAAACCAAAGTATTGGACCGACTCCAAGGTGAGACACTGATCATGTATATCCAAACCCTAGGAATAGTTATGTAAGAGTCTCTAGGCTCGAGATTATTGTCATATGTTACCTAGCTAGTAGCTACATGTTAGAGTTCTGTTTTGATATTATGCGCGGTGGGCTGTAGTTAATGAGTTCACCGATTCATTGATCGCGGAATGAAGCTTCGATCTATTCTATATATGTTATGGATTAAACCATAGTATTGGACCGACTTGAAGGTGGGATACTAAAAATGTGTATTATCCAAACCCTAGCAACAGTTATCAAGAGTTCTCATAGTTCTCTGTATGAGTAAGAGTCCCTGGACTCGATGTCATCTGAAGTTACATACATGTTAGAATTCTGTTTTGATATTATGCACGACAACCTGTGAGGAGCTCACTGAGTATGCAATCATCGAGTTGGAAATAGGACAAGATTTGTGCCTCCTATGAAAGGGGTACGGTAGAGATCCATAATTATGCAACTGTTTTCCCGCGCGAGAAAATCTAGATGAACAGAATTGAATATGCACCTTTTTGAATTCCATACAAACGATTAACAAACACGGTCCACGCCTCTTTGAACAAAGTTCAAACAAGGGTGTTTGATGTTCCTGATGATCTACGAGGCAAACTAAATTACATTAACTCTACTCCTATGGAGGTTCAGTGAGAGCTCCAGAACTACAACTATGGCTAAATTTGCAGAGGAAAAGATAAAATGATATGATTCCATTAGAGGCCATTCACAAGCTTGGATTGCTTGCCCAAAAAGGAATCATATTCACCACTTTGATTCCTGAATTTTGGCTAAGTGTTGAAGATGTCTTAGGTACGCCACTTTGGACAAGCCTAACTCTTTATTGGCGTGGTAGAAAATCGAGTTCTAGGGCTTGTATTGAAGAGGAGGAGTTGTTATTTCAATTGGGACACTTTGGAGCTCCAAGAGAGGCCAGGAAGGTCGATTTCAAAGCGTATCAAAACCCTATGGTGAAACCGAGCAACTGCCGGAATTTGGCTAAGGCAGGAAGTGAGTTCAGGTTGATACTTTTGGAAGCTTGTTTGAAGGAAACTAGCAAGAGTCGAGCTTCAAGCTCTCTACCACATGAAAGTACACACTTTCTAATACAACAACGTGGTATTGGGTGATCGGATTGATGCGTGGAAGAGCTCGAACGAAGAGGCAGAAGTTCGTGTCGACAAAGAAGCTGCTGCCTAAGTAATCCGAATCCTATTCGGATTAGGATTCGTTCACAGTTTTGGGATTTCTTTTCTTTTTGTGTTAGATTCGGTTTCTTTGAGTTCAGGACTGTTTAGGACATTATTTCCTTGTGTTGTAAGCTTTGTTTACCTACATAAACTCGTTTCTACGATGTATTTGTTAATTTTTGAGAGTTCATCGAATAAACCGAGAGTTTATTGCCATAGCTTCTTACTCGTGGGTTTTGGAGATCATCCTAGGGTTTTCTAGGTTCGATCTTGTGCTTGTATCGTTCAATTAGTCACATTGAACGTGGCCAAGCTTCAACTTATAGTTATCGAGCCTTTCTCCCTTCGTGAGAATTGCACGAAACTTCTATTCCCAACCACACAGTCGAACTCTGTTTGTGGTGTTCTTCCTTTACCAATTCAATCCAACTCGTGGGTTCAGTATAAGCTGCGTTTCTATGAGCCAAAAGCGCCTTTGGTGCTTTATCATAAAAAGATAAAAGTTGACATTGTGTTGTCTGGTGTGAATTTGGCGAACCTTTTCTCCGTCATCTTCACCAAGCAAACCAACACTCTTATGGCCTGCCTCATGGAGTTCCTTCAAGAGCTGTTGGGAACTCTTGCCTTGTCTTGCCACCTCAGCGGATAGATCAATCATGCTTCCCAAACGAGCCATCCTAACACCCCATGGCTCATCACTAGCTTTCAAACGAGCAAATGCCTCAAACAACTCAGCAACCGAACCGTCCTCATCTTCACCTTCCTCTACCCCCTCTTCACTCTCCACATACCCATCTTGATCTTCCACGTTGAACTGAAATACCATGGGTAGTATATAGTTTGTAACCACCACTGCTGGCAAACTCCCAAATTGGATGGTTAGAGGGGGGCCTTGATCATCCCCTTCATTATCTTTCTTACTCCTGTGAAACTTGGGGTTAGGGTGTTCATCCTCAATCATGTCTTCCCCAATATACTCATCAATCTCATCATCATATTCGTCACCTTCCTTTTCTACTCCATCTTCCAACTGTTCCTTACCCTTAGCATCATTTTGGACTTGGACATGCTTGCCCTTATCAGTCACTGTGACTTTGAGACCCATGGCAATGGAGTTGTCCGCCTCGACACTTGGTGGAACATCATTATTCCTTTGTAATGTTCTAACCGTACTACCAAGTATTAATGGATACTTCCCCTACCGTGCCTCGACATTCTTACGTAGGAATCTCCTCATTTGAGTCCTTGTCATCCCCCCAATAGCTACTAGTTGTTGACGATGCATGTCATAAGTATTGCCACCCTCCATGTGGCACATTGGGCATCTTGAAAGTCCTTCTCATGGGAAGAGGACCATGTGCTACCCATTGCCTCCTTTTCCCCAGGCCGATTGAATGACCCCCTCTACTTGTCTTTGATAAGGTGGGTATCTCGGCCTATGGGGTGGACCAAGTCTCTGTTGGAATGGTGGAGTTTGTCTACTTCATCAAGTCTAAGACTCCTTTGGCATTGGGCACATAGCTTCTCCACCTCACTAGACACCTTAGACGCGGCCGAGTTGGCTGCTTGCCCCTCGATGAATCTCCCCGCTCCACCACCATCACATTGGGGGTTCCTTGTTGCGGTGTTATATCTAACACCAGTTTGAAACGAGGAAGTTCAATCTTGGAGAAGTCCGGGTTAACCATGTTGGCACCAATCATGTTGGGAAACGGGTTGGTATCCACCAACATGGCATCCTTCTTTGGCTCAGTGAACTTGATGCGTCCCTTCTCAATGGCATCCTGGAATAAATTGTGAAAAACCACACATGAGTCAGTAGAGTGTGACATGCTATTATGCCACTTACAATACTTCTTTCCTTTTAACTTCTCAGGGGGTGGGATGTTATGCCCCCCTGTCAACTTGATTTGACCATCTTTGCAGAGTTGGTCAAAAATTAAGTCAACTTTGGAGATATCGAAGGAATATTTTCGTGGCTGGATGGGGGCACGATTTGGTCTACCCCCTTGTGGTTCGATATTCGTCTTATCCAAAGGAGCACATACATATGGCTTCCCTGGAGTTAACTCAGCCAGGTCTACCTCCACCTCTCTGGCCTCTTGGCCAATATGGTTAACATGGTAGCCGATGTTGGGGAAGTATTGCCCCCTTGAGGCACTCTTCCTATTCTCCTCTTCTTTGAGAAGAGATTCATATCTCACTGCACAAGACATGAGTTGGAACAAGTCAGAGAATTCTATATCTTGGAATTTCTTCCTTAACTCAAAACTCAACCCCCTTGTGCTAACTTGACAAACTCTCTCTGTCAAGTTGACAAAACAACGGTTATGATCATTCTTGAAGTTTGTCAAGAAGTGCTCCACTGACTCCCCTGGCTCTTGGCGCATTCGTGCCAAATCAGCCATGGAAACCTCACGCTCAGATCTATAGAACTGAGCATGGAATATTTGCCCCATCTGCTGCCATGACTGGACGGAATTGGATGAAAAGTTGACATACCAAGCAAAAGCATGTCCTGTCAATGAGTTGCCAAATACTCTTAACTTAATAAAATCTCCTACATCCCCACACTGGACAGTAAAACGTCCAATGTGCTCCACAGTAAACTAGTCCCCTGTCCTAATGAATGTGGCAAACTCGGGCACCCTAAACCCCCTTGGGAATAGGTAGAGTCTATCCACCCACTCAGGGTATGGTTTTCGATAAACAGGTGACATAGTGAGTCTCATTACCATGCCAAATTTCTGGGCAAGAAGTTGAGCCACCTGGTCCCTTAGAGTGTTAGGATCATGCCCCCTGGTTTCCCCCCTTGGGTTACGAAACCAATGGGGTCCATGCCATGACCATTGAAATGGGGTGGCATGGGTGTTGGGTATGCTCTCGGAGGAACTTGATCTCCCCCACCTAAGCCTACTCCCCTCCCATGTGAGCATGCACCGTATGGGGCCTTGCCACTAGTATGGGTATGGGTGGCGGTTCCACTGGAGCAGAATGTGTAACTCCTAAATTCTCACCACGTGGGGGGATTCTTCAACTCCCACATTGGGTATCCCTTCCACTTGAGTAGTGGTAGGAATCTCGTCGCGATTCATGCGGTGAGGAGTTGGTTGATTTGTCATCGACAGAAAGAGGTTATCTTGCCGTGGCTGACCATTTCCGGAATTTCCAGAATTGCTATTAGGATTTGAATTCCTACAATCTAATGGCAGAGCTCTAGATTGGATTATTGGTGTGGTTAAAAACCTTCTAAACTCATCAAAATCACTTTTGTTCTTATTAACCACTTCAAATAATTAACTTAGACGTCTATGAACTCTAGAATTAAGACAGTCCATTTGAGAATTTACCTGATGAGAAGCAGCTCTAGCTTCCTCCATCATGCGACGGTTCTCCACCATCATTTGGCGGTTCTCCTCTGTGGCTTGACGGTTCTCTGCCACCAGCTTGCGGTTCTCCTCCATCATTTGACGAAGGACCCCCACTACTTCACCAATATCTCCACTAGGCGTCACCGTTGGTAGGATCTCTGTCCCACCATTTTTTCCGGCCACCACCTCTGACACTTGGCCATGCTCAATGTTGGCCACCTGCTCCTCCACAAAACCAGCCGGAGCGTCACCTTCTTGATTCCTCCGCCTCGGAGCCATCAAATCGAACACACGTGTCACACCAGTTGTGCCAATTTGTTTTCCCGGCGAGAAAATCTAGATGAACATAATTGGATTTTGCACCTTTGACTTCCAAACAAACGATCAAACAACACAGTTTACACCTCTTTGAACAAAGTTCAAACAAGGGTGTTCAATGTTTTGATGAACTACGGAGCAAATCTACATTAAATTAGCCCTACTTCTATGGAGTTTCAGTGAGAGCTCCAAAACTACGACTATGGCTAAAGTTGCAGAGGAAAAGAGAAAAAGAGAAAACTTGACAAGTGGTGTCGAGTTGTGATTTTT